AATGAGTGGCAGAAGGAACAATAATGTCTCTTAGATGGGGGAGGAAGGAAACATAGACCAGGAGGGAAGGGCCATGAGGTTCCAAAAAAAGTTTCAGTAGAAGGAGGCTACTCATGGGCAAGCATAGGACCTTCACCCAGTGTGTGTGTGGCATGAATCATGCACTTATGTGTCTGTGTGTGAGTGTGTGTTGTTGTCCTGTGTGTGTGGTGTGAGAGAGAGAGAGAGAGAAGTTAGAGGATGGGATCTAGGGATAGAGCAGGACACCACCACTGACAGTCTCCCTGGAGCGCCACACATTTGCTGGCCTCAGAATCCTTTACTAAATTTATGGTAACTTCTGGAACTCAGGAAGGGGTCACAGGCTAGAGGGAAATGAAGACAGGCAGGTGTCCACTCCCTGGCTGCTCATGGGGTCATTTGAACCTCTGTTTATGACTCTCACGTACACGTGCTTCCTCCCCAGCCCGAACATGCGGGTCTCGATCGTCACCTTCTCCACAAGGGGCCACACCGTCCTAAAGCTCACCTCGGACAAGTAAGTTCAGCTTCTCTCCTCAAGGCAGACCTACTGGTGGTGGAGGGGGGAGACGGAGGCCAAGGGTAAACTCTGCAGAGGTGTCCTGAGTTTCAGTCAGGAGCCCACAGGCATGCTGCCTGGCGGGGCTGGCTTCTGCTCAGAGACCACCCTGCACCCCCGCATCTACTTCCAGCCCCTCTGATAACACGGCACTGAAACTGGCAGCCCCCTGTGTTTCTAGACAATCTCTGCCACTCCAGGTTTGCTGTGCCGGCTCAGATCTTCACTTGGCTCAGCCTGATCCAGCTCCCCCACCACCTGTGTCCCACTCCCACCTGCTCTACCTTAGCAGAGCTAGTAAAGGACAAAAGTGTGGCCATCTGCAGCTCCCTGCTCCCCCTGCATGGCGGCACTTATGGCCCCTTCCCTGGCCTTAGGTCTTCCCTGTCAGGAGCTCTGAAGTAGGGAGTCAGCACTCAAAGCAGCTTTGCTGCTTCCTTCAGATCCAATCCTGAAGGGAGGGAGGCTGTGGGTTCCAAGGCATACTCAGTGGTCCAGGGCAGGGAGGAAGGGAGAGGGCACGGGTATTGCCAGAGGGACCCTTACCAAACTCAGCCTTGCCTGGTAGAGGGTGATGAGTCCCACAGGGGACCCCTGGGGTGCTGGCAGTCCTGGCAGTGCTAGTGAGTTCCGGGGTTACACTAGCGCAGTCACAACTGCTCCCCACTTTGCCTGTTGTTGGTCAGACAGGCCCTTCCTGAAGCCTGTTGGTCAATGAACCTGATATACGATGAGTACAGACAAATCAATTCCAAAGACCCTGGGCCAAGGCCCATGACTCGGTTTCTTGACAGTCGCCTCCCTCGTCCAGGTCGGTCTGCCCAGTGCAGAATGTGCCAGCACAGATGGGCTGTTTGAGAACACTCCACCCTTCTTCCTACCTCAATACTCCATTTTATTGTTTTTAGAAAAGAAATCGAAGATGGTCTCAACAAACTACGCAACACAGTGCCTACCGGAGCCACAAACATGCAGGAAGGATTTAAAGCGGTACAGCCAGAGCTCTAAGAATATTCCTGCTTTAGCAAGTGCTCAGAATATCATTGAGTCCTCTCAACATGCCTTCCTGTTTTTGCAGGTCAATGAGCAGATCTCCACAGCAAACTCTGGAGGTAAGTTCTGCTGACTTCGAGACTGTGGGATCCTGGACAGTCAGCGCGAAGCACAGCAGTCTGGTGGCCCCCACTTGGAGCTGACTCTTGTGCAAGTTTCCTGACAATATGTACTCCAGAGTCCTCATCCATGCACGAGGGGAAACTGAGCTTCCCGGATGATTCTGAGACTTGTGGGCTCCTGGGTGTACATTCCTGGTGTTTTTATTAAGTATGAGGCACCTGACCTACATTGAGCTTGTGGAAAAGGGAGAAAGGCCAGGGGGCACCTTGGGCAGACAAGACTCTGCTTATGGAAGAAAAGAGCTTGATTTTCCCCTTGCTGACCACACTCTGCCGTGTTCCCATGGCTGGAGCTGCCTCCTTCCCCTTCATCGTCTTCCCTCTGCTGATGCTCCTGCTGGCCTGTGTGTCCCCAGGGCTAGAAGCTGTGTCAACTTCTCCCCGGAGAGAAAGCGGGGGCAGTGCACGGCCTTCACACCTGTGGCAGGTCACTCTGGGCGCCTTTACTGACCAGGACCTCCTGCTTCTCCCACAGAAAAGAAAGTGCACTCCATGGTTGTCTCCCTAATTGATGGAGCACTTTGGCCAGAGTCCTTTCAGGCTACCAAGAATGAAGTGAGTCCAGCCCACCTTGACCAGCCTTTGCTCCACATGTTTAGTGATTTGCACTTAACACGGTCTTTGTCTTAGGCTCAGAGGACTCGACAACTGGGAGGGACTGTTTACGTTGTGGGTGTCAACAACTACTTGAAAAATCAGGTAATTCAGAACAGAAGCCAACTGAGAAGTCTCATTGTGGAAAGCTTTGGCAGGGCCCCCCAGAGGATGGTTCTCTAACCCACTCACCCCAAATATCTGGACAACATGTGACCACTGCAGAAAGGAGTAACTGTGTTGTATGAGCCCACCTGGGGAACAGGTGGTAGAACTTTCCATTCCAGAAAGTTGGGCTGCTGGCGAGGTCAGGGTGGGCACTGTGTCTCACATAGCATGAAGCCTGAACCCAAACACTGGGATGGTGTCCTGCTGGTCCTCACCCCTGCTGTGGGTCCAAGTTTTCCTCTCTCCTTGTAGCTCCTGGCAATTGCAGACAGCGAGGAGCACGTGGTTGGTGTGGACAGTGGATTCTATGATCTCAGGAACATCGTTGACTCAGTGAGAGAGGGGTGGTTTGGGGGTGGGATGAGGAGGCTCTTACCATGCCCACTCTTCACCTTACCTGACCCGAACAACTCTCTGTTTCAGCTCGCAGCTAAGTCCTGCATTGAGCTGACAAGTGTGGGACCGACAGATTACTGTGTGGGAGGTAAGAGCTGAGTCTCTATTCTAAACAGAGGCATGTGTGCTTGTGTGTGTTGTACATTGTGCTTGGATGTGTGTGATGGATGTAGTGTACTGTGCAGTTTAAATGTGTGATATAAATACACACGTGTAAATGCTCTTATTCCCAGTATCATGAGCTAGAGTTGACATACAGTTCTATGTAAGGTGAAGGTATATCACATAATGGTTTGACATATAAAACTTGAAGTGATTAGCACAATAAGATTGTATAATTCTTTTTTTAATCACAAAATCAAAAGTTTAATTTAAAAATGAGGAAAAAATAATACAGTAGCAATGAAACCGAAGAACATCTGACAAGTAAAATATTTCAGAGCCAGTTTGGGATCACCCCAGAAGCACAGGGCTGATATAGAGTTGAAACATCAGTGTATGAAGAAAAATTCAATGTCCAGTGTCCTAATGAGGGCAATGTCCCTCCACGCAATCACTCCCAGCTACATGAGCTTCAGGCTTAATAGGAAGGCCTCTCCTGAGAATTGACCAAGACAAGGGTGCCTGCTCCCCAGAGGGTCCCACAGCACTAGAGTGAGGACGTCCAGGTACCGCCTGAGGCGACAAGGCCTCTCTCTGTAAGGGTTTTGAGTGCAGGTTGTACTGCCGCAGCCCTGGAGTACACAGCTGAGCCCCACGGGTAAGCACGCCCTTCCGGGAACAGCACACAGCCTGACCCACCACATCCTGACCCAGACAGCTGGCTCTGCCTCTGTGTCCTTGCGGGTGGCTGGAGCACCCTCACCTGGGACAGACAGAAGGCTGCTCCAGCTGAGCTCTGCTGCCCGTGGCCAGCACAGGAAGCAGGGACCCAGATCTGCCAGCTCCTCAGCTGTCTCCAAGAGGCAGAGAGATCAGTAACCCACTCTCTGCTCCGTGAGAGAGGGAGGCCAGTGGACTGTGCAGGGACCAGCTCAGAATAGAAGCAGGCAGACTTAAGGAAGAGTCGTGGTGCTCATATTCCCATGACTGACCATGGCTCCGCTGCCCATGCTTGCCCAGGCGGGGAGGGCGTGGCTACAGAGCTTCCAGGATGGAAGAGTCTCTGGACTCATCCTGACTTCTCTGAACCTGTAACCTGCAGTGCCTCAAGTGGGCTGGGTTAGAAACACACTTGCCCCACCACCCACAGCACACATGGGTCTTTCCTTGTTTTAAGTCCCCACCCGTGCAGGCAACTGGCAGCCTGGTTTCTCTGGGCATGTCCAGGGAGACACCCAGGCAGGAGTGTCTGAGCAGCATGTGAACACAGACAGGTGCGGAGACCAATCGTACCCAGCCAAGGTGACAGGAGCCCTCCCACACCCCCTGCCAGCCTGGCCCAGCAATCCCTGCTCTGTCCTTGTAAACTGTCCTCTAGTCAACTGCCGCCACCTGCTCTGCCCAGATGCCTCTCATTCTTCACTGTCAAGTAGTAATACCATGACTACTGCTTAACTGTAAGGCTTGCTTTTCTCATTTAAACTAATTGTCTTTGAATCTTTTAGTCGGCACATTTTTCAAACCTACAGCAAATGGAAGCAATTCTACAGGAGATCCTCTAACTGGATTTCTCCATTAACAGCTATCAGATTATCACTTATCTATCTAGCTCCCTCTCTCTCTGACTCCCAACAGTCCGTCTTATTTTTGAAGGTTTCCAAAGTAAATTAGAGTCATCAGCTCTTCTACCCCCAACTTTGTCATTTTGATTATGATAAACAAGGGACCAATTTTCCCGAGTTGTCTTTTTGAAATGCACGCATCTTCGCATCGCAGGTATATTATGTGTGAGTCTCACAGATGCACACACACAACTGCATAACACAGCCCCTGTGAAGACACACACCATCACAGCTGCCCCTCAGTCCCCTGCATCCTGGCGGCAGCTGCTCTCCACTCTCTCCCATTGGAGCTCTACCAAATATAACGACCATGAATAGGTGATCCTATATGTTTACCTCCCATCTACATACACTTCCAAAGGGCATTTTTAATAAACGAGGGCACATGGAACATTAGATTGTCCACCCTTTCAAAGTATGCAAAGCCAAACCTCTTTCCTTGGTGTCCTTGATTGATATTCAGATACTTCCTGATAAGTTGGGACACAGTCCCTGCCCCAGGCACATCCTGGTTAGGACCTCTTTGTGGGCATTTGAGAACTTCCCTGGGGTGAAGCAGAATAGAATAGCCACAATAGGAGAGAACAGATTCAAAGGGGGCCAAGAGGTGGATTTTCTCCCAAAGAGGCTGTGCCAAACTGCATGTGGGGATGAGGATGCGGGCAGAGATACCCCAACTGCTCTTTCCAGGCTCACTATGCAGCCTTGTCATGGTGGGCAGGCCCTGCTGAAGAGTGAGCCGTGAGGGTGCAGCCTGGCAGAAGTGGGTAGAGAAGCTGCACTGAGCCACTCTGTGTGGGAAAGGGCCTGAGGCGTCGGGACATCAGCCCACCTGAGTGTACCACATGCTTGATTTCTTAGCACAGGACACTCAGCTGACGTTCCTGCTCTCTCTGTTTCAAAGACTCTGCACTCCCCTGCTCCTGTGGTTCAGGCCCTTGTTAGGACAGGGACACTGCCAGCAGGTATGCTCAGGGTCCACACAGGGACATCAGCAAGACGAGTGAGCCATGTCAGTCCAAGGATGACTGGCTTGTGGTGTGAGGGCAGGCAGGGCATGGGCCCTGAGAGAGTCTGCCTCTGAAGGCAGTCACTCCATCCCAGCCGTACTGACATGCAAAACCACAAACGCAACAATGACAGGTGTTCTATTTTCCAGAAAAGAATTGTATCTGAAATTTCAGGGGAAATGTACTGATAGTCAAACATGGAATCCCATTGTTTTTGAAGACACTTGAAGGCCTACAAAACTAATCAGCAGGCACACTTTTGCCCACAGCCCTAGAGTCTACTTTCTTCAAAGCATAGAATTTACAACCATCACACTGATGATGGCTGGAGGAGGGCTTGATCCAAGAGAAATCCAAACTGCCAAGTTCACGGTGGTGCTGGCAATTCTAGGACTGGTTCCTCCATTAATTGACTGTATCAACTGGGCAAATCAAGCTCAGGGCACTGGAATCAGCTAGACATGAGACTGAGGCACCAGTGGAGAATAATGACCTTGACATACAGCAAGAAGGCCTTCCCCATCTTGTGTAAATCCCTGCAGCCAAACCCACAGCTGCCGTCACTGTGTCCCCTGGTATTTGTTCCAGGGGAGGGGATCCCCAGTGTCCAATCAAGGGTTAGGACAGATGTCCCTTAGCAAGTCACTCCCCACACAGCAGAAGGAAGAGCTTTCCATGAATCCCTGGGCAGGGAAGTGAGGAGGCCCCAGAGGATCAATAAGTGGAAGAACAATCACGTTCAACAATCCTGTTCCCTCACAGCTAAGGGAAGGGGTATTCTTTGGTACAGGATCAGCTGCTCCTGCTTGTCTCCCCGGGGTCCCACCTTATTCCTCAGCTCCTCAGTCTGCCATAGGCACACAAAAAGATAGGGAAGAGAAACAGCACCCCCAAACGTAAAATCATTTCACAAGCAGCCAGACCAGTCTGCTCACTTCAGGCAAGAGGCAGAGTGGTGCAGCCTGCACTGTCTTGCTCCACTCTCCTTTATGGTGGCAGTCTGGTAGAGGCTGGAAAGCACTGCCTGCACCCCTTAGGGAGCCTCAGGACTTAGAGATTGGAAAGCCACGATGGGTTGGTTCATGGTTGGGACCAGGTGGAGCCTTGAATGGGCTGTGCTGGTAGCAGCTGTGGGGACAGTGCCCGAGAGCTCCACCAGCCTCCTCACAGTGGCCCCTCAGAAACACCAGGTGAGCCTCAGGAGACACCCAGATGTTGGTTCAGAACAGCTGTCTCCTGCAGGAGTCCCTTGGGGGCTCCATTTGGGGGTAGACTGCCATAGTGATGAGATCAGCAGACAACAGAACTCAGTCCCTCCTTACACACATCTTTGGATGTTGCCCTTGCAGAAAACTATGATGTAGGCGTCTTTGGAAGAGGTTTTCATAACACCAACAACAAAAAAGAAGTTCTTTGCAGAATTCAAATAAGTGACACCGTATTTTTCGGTAAGTACCTCTCTGATTTGTACAAGTAACAGATTTCCCACAGACGCTGTCTCCCTCAGGCACCATGCCTCCAAACACTTGATGCCCATTCCCTATGGGTGCTGGGAGGATAGAGGCAGCACCGAGAGTGGAAGGAGGGACGTGAGTGGGATCCATCCATCCCCAGAGCCACGAAGGGTCTGGGTTCAGGGCTGCTCCCTGTGAGGAGGGTCTTCCCTGAGAGTTGCGTCCCCTGCGGTTTCCTCATCTCTCACTTTCCCTGAGAGACAAGGACCCCAATCTCATGAGTCGGCCAGGTAGAACTTATAGCAGTCCTGGGCTCTGAGTACATGCCAGGTGCACTGGTAGCTTTCCCAGGAGGGTATATTCACCTTCGATTGAGAGAGGCGGCCAAGCACCAGATCCAGGTCCTGAGATGTGGCACAGGCACACATTCCTGTGTGCCCTTGACCATGTGAAAGTTCCCTTCTTGCTCTATTTTCTCTACTGTGAAGCGGGAGCAATGTAACAGCTGCGCTAAGTAAGCTCTGCGACATATGGAAGCCTGTTATCTGGCGACACTCGCACATCGGGTGTTCCTCCATGATGGAGGAGTGGCTCCCTGTGGAGCTGACCAGGGTGTGTGGAGGGGTAAGTCAGACTGCAATGGCAGCTGGGCCTTCACCACTTCCGCACAGTTCAGGGGTGGAAAGAATTGGAACTCAGGTAAGCAGGATCCACAACTCAGGGTGCTCTTTTGAGTCTTGTGACTGCCATGCTCAAATAAAATAACAGTAAACAAATGCAAAGGAGGAAAATCACTAGCCATCCTCAGAAATTCCCTATGTCGTAAATAGTATCACCATCACCCAGTCAATCTGGTCAAAACCTGCATGTCATCCTTGAACTCTCTTTGCTTTTATACCCATATGCGGTCCAGGGTAGGTCTTATTTTTTGAGGTCTAAAGCCTGTGCTGAGATGGCTCACCCCTCAACAGACTCATTGTCGTTAGATTAAAACCCAAACTCTTCTAGGACCAAGAGTTCTGTTCCACGTTCAATCTTACGTATGCAACAAGGTCAGGTAGGACAACCTCAGGGGCTTGACACTTGCTGTTCCCACAGGGCAAACCTCTCTGCCCTGGGACCTTACCTTGGTTTTCACTCATGACACTCAGCTCCAGAATAGCATCCTCACAATAACTTATTTTAATGTAAATGTTCAAAAAATGTAAAAAAAATAGAATTATTGAAAAAAGAACTTGAAACAGCATCTCTTCATATCAGTAATTACCAAAATAGGATAATCAATTTTTTGAAGCAAATACCAGCATGAATTCATTGAATGCATAAATATTTCAATTTTCATCGAGACTGCACAGATCACCTTGTTCCTAGCACCTGCCTGATCCCTCCATTCCGTGTCCCAACCTTGTACATTTATGTCACATTTCAATTCTAGGCAATTTATTTAATTTGTTTGTGTTTTTTTATTGCCTGCTTTCCCGCCAGCCCCACAAACATAAGCCCTGGAGAGCCGGATCCCACTGAATGCCGGTCATTGCCCTTGCTGGTGCGGGCAGCTGCTGAGAGGGCAGAGAGGAGACGCTGCATCTGCCCGCAGAGCTGCACCAGCCAAGGACAGGCAGACGGGAGCAGGGGTGGATGGGCACATCCACTGGCTTTCTTCCTGTCTCATTTGCTTTAGATAAAAAGCCACCCAGGTGGAAGACACCAGCATAAAGTGTCCGGGAGTGATGATAGAGGTACCAGCCAAGTAAGTGCCACAGGGACAGGCAGGCATTTTGACCCCAAGAGATGCAGAATGTGGGGCACCTCTGCTGGGCAGCATGTGACGTGCTCTGGGAGGCTTCAGGGCAATCATCCTGACCAACCCATCTTGGTGATCCCCCGATGAGCTCAGGGATCTGCTGTGCTGCAGCCCATGCTGAGGACAGACTTGGAAGATGAGGGACCAAGGTGGGCTCCATGTTCCCAGCAGCCTTCAGAGTGGAGCCAGCACAACAGGATGGTGACACCACACACAGCCTCCCTGGTTACACTGAGCTCGTGACCACAAAGCATCTGACCCCATGCAGAGTCCCTCACCATGGTCTCATCACAGAGGTGGACCTCATGGGACTTGGGTGGGGTCTCCTCCCAGGCCGTCCGCCTCCAGTAGCCCTGAATGCCTGATGTTCAAGCCATCACAGTAGGGAGAGCTGTGCCTTGGTTTGAGCAGAAACCAAGAGCTGTGCCGACCTGCACCTGTGGTCCCCATCTGTCCTTTCTGTGTTTAGCGAGATCTCTGTTGAAGTGAGCCTGAACAACGGTGCCAGCTTCATCAGCAACGGGCTCAAGATCAGCAGCAAGGACTGTGGAGGTCACAGGGTAAGTACATGGTCTCCCTCTGGGCTACCCAGAAGCTGCCCGGGGAAGGCGTCATTTTGGGAGGCAAGACAGAGGATGAGTCTCAGGACAGGCTATCAGCCCTGGAGGGATCAGGAGTCATCTCAGCAAGGGACAACGGGGAAGGAAAGTGACAAGCACTTTCCATGTCCCCCATCACCCGGGCACCGTAGCCCAGGGCGGTGAGGCATGGCAGTGGCAAGCAATAGGCTGGAGACGAGTGTGCTGGGAGCAAGGGCTTTGGTGCCCCGATGCCAGAGCCCGGTGTCTTGTACCTGCTTGTGAGGGTCCCCACCAGCTGACATCTCTGTGTTGTCTGCATTGTGTCTGCACATCCGCTCAGACTGGCCAGACGATGCGCATCAGCCCCTCAGGGTTTCCGCCTACGCACAGCTCGTCTGTCATCAGGCCCATGAGGAAAGTCCTCAGGAGAAACACAGGGCTGGCCCAAGTACAGCAGGTGAGCAGTTCTGACCTTGCCTTTCTATCTGCCATCCTGCCCTGGCACCACACCTCTCTCCCGCACCCTCGCCAGCTGCTCTGAGCAGAGACTGCGTGGGGTCCCACCTGAGTCCCACTCACCCCAAATTCAGAACAACAGCCAGAGGCAGCCCCTTCTCTCAGCCCCACATGGACCTGGCCTGTGCCAGGACTCTGATGACCCTCCACACCTCACGATTCTCTCACCTCCTGCTCACATGTGGACACGGAGGTGCAGAGAGATTGAGGCTGTCAGCCCACAGCTCAGAATCTATAAGACAGGGGGGCCCTCATGTGCAATGATCCTGGGTCTCCTGCTCTGCCCTTGAACCCCCAAATCTCAGGGGGCCCCACACTCCCCCAGAAACCCATCTGTGTATGTGTACAATTGTGTGTCCCTGCACTGTCAGCCAGGGCTTGGGGTTGGGGCTGGGTGGTCACTCCTCAAGGATTCTGGTTTCCTTGACTGGGCTCTGGCTTAGCCTCTGAGCACGGCCAGTGGGGCGGGTGTGTCCCACCTCCATGGTGGGCGCTGAGCATAGTTGGCTCTAGTACTGTGTTCCGCCCAGGTGGCAACCTGCAGAGAATGGGAGTGGGCTGACGGGAGTCTAGAATGTGTGCTCAGCAGTGGGCGTCGAGAGGCCCCAGGCCCACACTCCTGGTGTTTTCTCTCTGCAATGTGCAGCCACCTGACCTTTCCAATGCGGCAGTGGCGGGTCCCGGAAATCAAGGCTCACAGTTCCCCAACATCAACCCTTACCACTTGGATGCGTGCATGCTGGTACTAATACTGATGATAGGGTGCTTGTGGCTACTCCACTGCAGAAAGGTGAGTGCCAAAAGCTGCACACCTCCCTGAGCCCAGACAACTCTCCTAGGGACCTGACACAGGCACTCCTGGGTCTCTGCTGCAACCTCAGCGCAGTCTTCAAGGAGCAAAGGCAGACACAGACTCTGCCCTCCAGTCCCAGGCAGAGAGACAACCTGGCAGGGCCTCCTGCCTCGTGCTAGCACAGCCTGTGGCCATGGGCGGCCTGGTCCATAGGGATAAGGGCCCGCAATCTCTAGCACGTTGCCTCATGGCCCCGGGTTCTGAGCGCTCAGGTGGACAGGAGGCCGGGAGGAGGACTGTGCTGTTGAGGGAAGAAGCAGGGGCCCTGTAGGGGCACAGAAAGAACAGGACTCCCAAGCACTGGGCAGCTGAGCTTTAGAAACCAACACGGTGTCTGCACATTCCCTGTGCGGCTACCACCTCCCTCATCTTCTTCTTGAGTGCCAGGGGATGCTGCCTATACTGGGCACACAGGGACAGAAAGGAAGCAGTTGCCAGCCTGTCCACAGCAGCTTCAGTCTGGGGTCTGGGCTGGCATTGGTACCTGGGCGGCCATGAGGTGGACCACGCAATGACACCTTATGGAGACCACGTGCCCTGATAAAGCAGAGCAATAGCAGAGGACACCCTGACTGAGAAGAGAGGGACAGCAGGGCACGGTGGCAGTGGCAAGGTCACTGCCGGATGGAGAGAGAAGGAGGAGCATAGGGGAAGGCACAGCAGCAGCCAGGACCTAGCAGGACCTAGAAGGTACAGAGTCCCTCAGACAACTGAGGAGTCAGGTGCTCAGGGACATGCAGCCTGCTGGCCACTAACCCCTGCGGTGGGCATCCACATTGACACCCAAAGCCACGTTCTCACTCACTCCCGCTGAGCAGAGTCCCTCCTGCCTGTGTAATCACCCAGAGGCCTGCAAAAACCTTTCCTCCTTGTTTCTCTTTTCACATTCTAGAACAAGATGGTGGTGAGTTTTGTTTTGTTTCTGATGCCCACACAGACCTGCACAAGGAAGCCTCCTGAGCTGTAGGATATCTCTATTTCCCACCCCACCATCTCCACCTACCTGGACAGAGAGAGCTGGCAGAAAGCAGGGTGACAGAGGGGCAGGGAGGGACAAGTGGGAGGACCTAGGACTCACAAAATGGCATCAGAGACACCCTCTCCATGCTCCCAACGGTCTGATCCAGAGCCTCCATCACACTATAAATTGCAGTAGCTGTTGCAGCAAGTGCCATGATCCACAGTGACATGACCAGGGCTTTCCTTTTGGTTTTGTGTGTCAGTTCCCAACGATTGGTCATTGGCTGGTCCTTCCCTGGGTTAAGTGAGCAGTTGGAAAGGGAAACTCAGGGTTCCAGTACTGGTCACCCCCCTGCAGTCTCTCATCCTGTTGGGTTGCATTTCTTTGGTTTTCCTGCCTGTCTCCTGGCTGGCTGGGATTTGGCTGGGTTTGTCCTTTGGGCACTTAAGAGCTGAGGAGGGTGGAGGGAGTCAGTCCTCCCATGAACTGTGAGGGAGGCCCAGGCCAGGTACACCTGGGACCAAGGGTCAGCTGAGCTGCCTGTGGCTCTCCCGTTAAGGAAGCCCAAATGGACCCATAGAATTTGCACAGCAGGGCCACTGTGACATATAACGGGGAGCGGTAGGAAGCAGGCCCCACTCAGACGCTGCCTTTGGTGCTGCTGCACTGTGGTCAGGGAGGCTGCATCTGCCAGTACCAGGCCAATCAGCCTCTGCTGATGCTCCTCCCCAATGTCCACCTTTAAATTGTACAACCCCAAGACCAGGCCTCTCCAAAGGGCAGCTCAGAAACCCAGGTGGCCTGAGAAAATTTGCTGTCCATTTGGGGAAGGATCTTCCTTGCAAAATGTAGAGGTTGCTTGTGCTTCCCATGGAAGGCCTCCCCCGCAGCACAGAGTGGTGCTAATCAGTTGTCCTTGAATCCTCCCAACAAACTTTAGCTGAGAGGCCAGAAGTTGACAGGTGCCAGGGGAACAATTCATGTCTCTGTACCCCAGAACTAACAGACAAAATCTTTCTCTTCATAGGAACCTTGTTTACAAACGTGCCCCATGGTGGTGGTCCCTTGTGGTGGAGATGACAACCTAAAAAACCTAGAGGTGAGATGGACCAGTAGGAGGGAGCTGTGGGCAGGTCGGGCTCCGAAGGAGAGTAACAGGTTGGGCCCAGAAGGTGTGGCTTGGATGGAGAGGAGTGTTCAGGGCACTGAGCTTTACTCACTTGGCTCCAACACCAGGCTCTCCCCTCAAGGGGCTCAAGTTTATGGAATCACTGCTTTCACAGCGGTTCTCATCAGCCCCATTAATGACTTGGGTCTCCTGGGGAGTAGCAGTGGGTTAAACCAAAATCACAAGGTTCATGAAGGTCAGAAAATAAAAGCAGGAAATCTGAGTCAAGATCGTTCCCCCATTGGGTGGACATGCTGGTGCACCTGGCACCCACAGAAGCCAGCTCAGCAGAGGGAGGGAGGGAGCTGCTGCCTTGTCCTCCTGCCCTCAGCAGGGGTGACAAGGGTCACATGGAGGAGGGGCCTGAAGGGAATGTCCTTGCCCAGGAAGAGCTGGGCCCGCCCTGCTGACACACATCCCACACTGGGGCCCCAGAACAAAATAGAGTCCACATGGCTGGGGTGGAGGAAGAAACAGGCCACAATTTCTGCCTGGTATTTCCAGTCCTCCTTGTCCTGCCTCGGTCCTTTTTGGGGGCCATGGCTTCCTCCAGGAGCTTCTATGGCACCAGGAAAGCCAGCAATGCCTTCCTCTCAGTGTGCAATACAGAGGTGCCCAGCACATCTTCCAGAGAGGTGGAAGCCCTGACCAAGGGCTCGTTCCTGTTCCAGGACATGCTCCCCCGCTGACAACATCAGGGCAGAGCTGGAGTGCAGGGTCCAGAGCTCCCCTAGGATCCCCCGCCAGGGATCCAGGTCACTCTCGGTCTGTCCTGAGCCACCTCTTCTCTCCACCCTCTGTCAGCCAGACCCTGCACACTTTCAGGCCATGGAGCCTTCCCTGCCTTCCCTGGTGGGCCTCATGAGTGCAGGTCTCCTCTTCCCTTCCTTCTAGCTCCTTCCCAGGTACCCTGCAGGCACCTCATGTTCCCCTCCGAGACACCGCAGATCACCTCCAGCCTTGTACTTTAACTCTGCTCGTAGCTCCTGGCTTGTTCTGCAAATATACTAATTTGCACATCCCTAAAAATTGGTGACTCACACACTGAACTACAATGCAGGCCCATTGTCACAAGGAAGGCCACTATCCTCCCCCTGGGAGTTTGTGGGGACAGAGCTCAGGTGCCTTTGGGAACTGGAGGGGACACTGTCCTGCTGGAGGCAGCAGCCAGCTCAGAGCTTCCTCACAGGCTCTTCTGTTTTCAGGACAAACTGGACACTCTGCACATGCAGATCGTGTGCAACATATTACAAAACCGCAATCGGAGCCCAGGGATATGTCATAGCCCAGGCGCAAGGTAAACAGGGTACAGGGATGCTCCCTATGGCCAGAGTCCTTTGCTTTATTTCCTGACAGCGGCCCTCTGGGAGTGTGGGTACAGGCATCTGTCAAGAAAATGTCTAAGAACGAGACGTGGTGCTCAGAAAACTCCCAGCTGAGTCTAGACAGGGACCTCAAGTGTTTTCTTTGATTTTCATCTCAAGGATGGCAGAGGAGACAACCCTAGAACATTACCCAGCACTTCCAAATTTAAATGAAAAGGCTGGAGGAACAGTCAGATGGGGAGTGCTCGGTGCCTCCATCCCCACCCTGCACCAGGGCTGTGGGTCAGCTGCTGCCTCCCATGCTGAGGCCCTCCTGGCTGGGATGGAGACACACCCCTCAGCACTTCTGGGAAATCTGGGGAACTAGGGCCTTCATTTAGTCAGAACATGTTCTCAGTCCCCAGGCTGCCCGGCAGGGGATGCAGAGACAGTCAACATCTGAGCAAAAGGAGTTCAGTGTCCGAGCCCTGGGGCTGGGAATGCTGGGCACACCCCAATACCTGAACAGAGTCTCAGATAGGAGCCCAGGAAGGAGGAGTCCCCAGGGAGAGGAAGGGCATCCTCAGAGGTCCTGCCTTAGGGCCAGCCCTCATAAGCCAAGGAAACCAGAAGTTTCTGTTCCCAATTCCAGGGCTTCTCACTGACCTCTCTCTTCTCTTCCCACAGCCATGTCCCTTACTCAGGTCGAGAGGTGGGAGGATGCGCAGGTACCCACGCTGCTGCCTGCAACCCAGCCTGGCGTGCTGTCCCCTCGACAACTGCTGGATGTGTTGCCCATATTCCCCGTGCCAACCTCCCCAACTCATATGCTCCCAGCCTCCCCGACCCATATGCTCCCGGCCCCCACAATCGGTCTGCTCCAGGCAGCCCTCCAGGATGTTGCCAATGATCCCTGGCCCAGTTGGAAGACGTGGTGGAATCCCTTTGGCACTCCTACCCCCATAGACCAGTCAATAAATCCTGCAAATCCAAGATTAACTTCTTTATGTGCTTAAGTGGACACGTGTGTTGAGTCTTGGTTTACAGTCAAAGGAGTTGGATGTGGTCCATCAGCAGAAGTGGTTCCCTGGCCAGCCCTGCTCCGCTGTGCAGGATGTGGCCACACTGCTCCTGCCTGGACAGAGCACCCCGGTGTCCTCTGGCTGTGCACATGGATGATCCCCTCCCCACAGCCTGGTCTTCATCACCCACCAAGGGCTGGGCCACATCAGGTTTTAGCTAAATTCTGCTCTTTGCAAAATTCCCGATTGTCTTTGAAAAAACATACAATCCTTTCTCCTTCCCAATTTTTATGGGGAGAGAAGTACTTAACTGTCTCACCTCCCTCACTCCCTTTTTCTTTCATTTTTTGATGACCTCTTGCTGGATATGTCATAAAAAGACACAAGAACTTCTAATGTTCAGCGACTGAAAGTGCAACTTCTTTTTCCAAATACCCCAAACGGCCCCTAAGCCCAGGAGGATTTTAGAAGATTCTCTCCACTTCTCTAAGAGAAGATGAATCTCCCCTATTTGCCACCATGTATCCTCACAGTGTCCTGTGCTCTGCCCCACATGCCAGCCACCCCACCCAAGGAACCCCATGAGGAACCCATGAGCCCTGGAGGGAGTGTCCCCCTACTGAACGAGAGCCAGCTCTCCTTGTGGCACGCTGATAGTGATCAGAACTACTGTGTGTTCTCACCCCAATATCCTTGAATGTTGTGTTATGTTTCAGTTGAATTTCTCTCAGACAGCTAAAGGTAGAAATATGTCAGGTTTGGGTTTTTCACTTGTATAGACTGAGTGCATGGATAGGGATGACTAACTTTCCCCATGATTAAAAAGAATTTCTGCCATGATTTATGTAAGTGCATGTGGATGGATTTGCAGGGATATAATGTCACATGACTTTTAGCCTTGAAAGCCTTTATACCTGGAGTTGTTTCTCCTTGTCCACCAACCCCAATCCCTCTGACAGGTTCCAGGGGCTTCCCCCATGGCCAGCACAGAAGAGAGAGGGAGAGAATCTGCCCCTCATGGGCTGTTCCATCCTGCCAGCACTTCTGTCTCCCCAGCTGTATATAGTGCCAGACTTCAGAGAAATAAGAGAACTTACAATGGAGGCCACATAGAAGGTGCTGGAATTATGTGGGGAAGGGAGAGCTCAGCACTTTCAATTTGACCCATTCAGAGACTCCCTCCATGAGCAAAGGCAGGTTCAATAGCGAGAACCAGCAGTGACTCCACACTTGCCTCCTGAGACCCTTCATGCAATGTGAGGCCTTGACCAAATTTTGGTTTGGTTTATGTCACAGAAGAGACGATTGTTCCAGAAGATGGTGCTGAGAAATTTTTGTTTACTGGCCCAATTTAAAATTCCATCTTATAACACCAGTGATAACAGTCACGGAACAAATGTGACTGAGATTTCTGTTTCACTCTTTACTTGACAGCACGCCCATCACGTACCACCTTCTGTCATCACGCTGTCACCCATGGAAGCTATGTTTCCCTTTCTGAACCCTGGAGATGATGCTTTCAAACCTGGAAACATGAGAGAGTACTCAGAGAATTGGGGCTGTCGGGGTGGGGGAACCCAGCAGACGTTTGCCCGGGTCACAGCCTCCCACCCAAGCTCATGCTATGAGCATCAGACCCACAGATGGGGCGTCCAGCTCTGTGCTGGAAGACTGGCTCCGCCCCTCCCTCTGCCAGTGCCCATCCTGCCCAGTATATGGTCTGCAGGCCTCAGGGAGCCATGGAGGATGCCTGCCACTCCCCTGGCCTTCTCCCCAAATCACCCATCCCCTCCTCCCTCTCTGCCATCTTGGGCACCTGGCTGACACTACTCCCTACTGCAGGGACTACTATTATCCCAGGAACCTCAAATCCACTGAGAACCCACCCAACAGCAAGGGCTCCTGATCCTTGGTCTTATCGCATTTTATGAGAAAGGAACCAACAACTTACAATGCAGACAGGCAGGAAGAGGGCAGGGGAGCGCAATCTGGCCCACTTTCTCAACCTCACCAGCATGCCTTGAAGGCAGCCTTTTCAGCTCCCTGCAACCCTCACTTGCTCATTATCCTAGCAGCTCTGGGTAGGTTGTTGTTTCCTGCCCAAGGTGCTGGAGGAAGTTGGGTATGGCCTGGGCTACATCCTGCCCTCACCTGACCCTGGCCAGGATAGACCCTGCCTGATCCAGAGTCCACACCCCAGGGCAGGGGGAGGGACAGGAGAATTTTAGTGGCTTCTTCCTGCAAGCTGTGTTTCTCATTGGCGCCACTCTATTAACTGAGGGCCTCTCTGTAGAGGAGACGCGGTGGTCCAGAAGAGCTAGAAGGAAACCAGCAAGTCCTTACAGCCAGGCCAGCAGACTCTCGGGTATCCTGAACTACCTCACTTGTCAAGTAGATTCCCTGCACAGCGGACACCTCCCAGTGACTGGCCCCAGTCACAGCCCTGCTGAGGACTCAGAGCCACCAGAGTCCAACCCCACAGAGACTCCTCCTGTGGGGGGTGTGCATTCCCATTTAACCCAAGAAGATTGAAGGAGGGAAAACTACAGCACAGACAGGATCCTGCAAAGATATTCAGTGAATGGGAGCCCTGATGTGTTGTGCGCTAAACCCCGATAAACTGTTGCTAGACTCTGATGGGTCATTGTCTTCAGCACTAAAACCCCCCAAGCTGGTCCCCCCCTGCTGGTCCTTTCTTGTGCACGCCCCTTCCCAGGACATCCCCCTGGTTCTTCCCTCCTCCTTGTTCCCAGCACCAGGGGCTGCTGTCCAGGCTCAATACGCACAACTTGCCGCCCTTAGTAAGCCTGGTGGCTCGGGAACAAGCACAGTGTCAGCTGCCTCTGCGGTCTTTGCCCAAATTCCTGACTGCCCAGCTTTGGCTCTGGGGTTCCATCTCTCAGGGAGGTGCTCACCCGCTCAGCCCTGTCTCAGGTTCCTCAGGTGACAGGACAGGCCTCCTCCTGGCCAAGGTGGCTTATGGGCACACGGAGCCTCAGAGACTCTGACATGAGGGTCACATGGCAACTTGGAGCAGAGAGGACTAGGGCACCCCTTTTACCACATATTTGCCAGCAATGTCATAGCCAGAAGCTGTGGCTCTGGACCCGAAAGGACTGCTTGACCCTCCCATCATCAAAGGAAGGGGGAACAAAGTAGGCAGGGCCAGGAGGCACTGGAGGCTCAGCCACCATCCTGCAGGGCACACATGCTGTCCATCCTGCCCAGGTGGACACCAAGGTAGCTGGGAGCCCGCAATGCTTTCCCTGTCACACTCTCAGCAGGCTGGGTTGTCTTGCAGATTGAACATAAGGTATGTCAGTGAGGGGCAGCCCCACTTCAACCCAGATCTGGACGCAAAGTCTCTCTAGAAAGCCATGAAGAGGCATAGGTGAATGGCAGCCATGGCTTGCACTGGCAACACTTTGACTCTGAACCTTCAGGCCCTCCTGCTCACAGACCTGAAGAGGGGAAGTCAGGGACAGCCAAGGAGTCAGGGCCTCCATATAACTTTATGAGAACCACCCCTCCCCCCCCCCATACACACACATGCAGAGAATCACACACATCCTACCTTCTCCAGCACTGGTCTACACTTATCCTCCAAAACTGGGGGTGGAGGGGAGGGGCCCAAGTAATAGAGGAGTGACCAGGGCATCTCCTGGGTATGCTGTACACCCAGGGCAGTATCTTCACCCTGCTAAGGATTGGTTTATTTCCTCATAATATGCCCCACAAAGCAGAGTGGGGCCTCTGCTTGCCACTGTGAATTTAGGATGGGATGATGTTGCTCTTGCACCTGGTACAGAGGAGATGGAATTTTCAAGGGACTGAACTGTGCTCCTGGGGCACCAGCTGAAGAGGTTCTGTGAGACTTCCCTTCTCCACATCAGCTGGCCCATTCTTCAGTCTCCAGTACCCAAATGCCATGTGCTGTGAGCAGGAAAGGGCTTATCTGAGTCCTTGGGGTTTGCATGGCTGACCAGAGAGCGCTCCTACTGTTAACCCCGGAGGGTTTACTCCCTAGCTGGCTCAGAATGGACAATAGGTACAAGAAGAAGCACCATTAGAAGAAACTAGACAGCCTGTTTTTTCTTCTCCTTGCTTCCCAACCCAGATTTACTATTATCTCCACTTTCAGATGAGAAAGCAGAGACAGGGAGGTCAGGTTGCTAGCAGACACTCAAACCCAGTTTTCTGATCCCTCAGCCCTGACCAGGTGACCATCGGGTCCACACATTCCAGCACTGGAGTCTTGGCCTGTGCTCTGCCTCTACAGTGGTGGGTGGAAGGGCACGTGAAAGGATCGATTTTCTGTCCAGCTGTCTTGTCTACATCGTGAAAGCCATCTGGTTTTTGGGTGTGCAGGTGCAGGTCTCCATAACTGAACTAACAAGCAGCTGCCCTCCCTCCTCTCCGGGCTTCCCCAGCACCCACTTCCCATCGGGGGGCAGTGGGGCTGCTCACACTGTGCACCCCTGCAAGGACCAACAAGCAGGCCATCACCGATGTGCTCACACGGAAGAGCAATAAGCAGTGGCAGCAGATTGCCAAGTCCTTCAAGGCTCAGTTGAGCAAGGTCAGGGGCACCGGGGCACTGGAGCTTAGAGGGGCAGGTATGCTGGGCCTGGGACATCAGGAGCTGCCAGAGATAACCTAGGAGACGATTACATTCTGGGGGAGGGCCTTTTCTAGGGGCCAGCCCACTGGAAACATGTCCTTATGGGATATGTTTACACTAAAAACATACATGCATGGCTTATCTCAAATTCAAAATTAACTAGCTCTTTTGTGTTTTAGTGGAAATCTTACTTATGGCTGCCCACACCCTCTGGGTGCCAGGGAAATTGTCTAACCAGAAAGAGGGTAGCTACCAAAAGCCTTCAATAAACATCATTCTTAAGGTTCTGTTAGAAGTGTTCTTTCAAATGAAGAATACCACCACAAAGACCTAGTGCCATTTCAC